AACACGATATAGGGCTGTCCTTCTGAATGGGCAGTTTTAACCTCGAGTATCTTTTCTGCAGTATTGGAGTCATCAGCATCCTGTCCACTCGGTAGAGTCACCACTTTGGGAGTCAAATAGGGCCACACCATCTTCTCAAACTGACTTTATCTGGTTAAATTTAATGCTTTCTCCATTGTTGTTGTCCAAAACTTTATCAACAAAAAACACACTTCGCGAAAACAATCTGTGAATATTGCGGTACGGACACTCGTCTATAACCTAGGTTTTGCAATTATTTACACTTTTCATTACATTTTATATAGACAAGGACTCTATTTACATTAATCATTCTGATGCCTCGATTACACCAGATCCAATACATCTGTCCCCATCATAAACGGCCAAATATTGACCCGGTGCAATTGCTCTCCGTTTCTCCCCTAATTGGAATATTAGCCCACCTTCATCAGTCTTGACGATTGAATCAAGTTTTTCAGCTTTTTGAAGCGATCTATACTGTACTGAAAGATTTGGTACGTTGGAGACAAGATCATAATTCGGATCCAAAGGATAAAAATCCTTGACATAAACGATTTGTTTGAATAGTTTTGGATTATCAGTACCTCTAACAATTGTGATATCATTTGTTTCAAAGTTTTTAGCACCAACGAACCATGTTCCTTTATAATTAGGATCTCCTTGAGGCATTTCAAGGCGGCATCTTTGGCCAATAGTGGCACTCCATAAACCTTCATGTTTACCCCAAATTTTACCATCTTCAGTGATATAATTACCTGGTGATTCATTCAAAAAGTTTTTCAAAAAACTATTGAACTTGCCTTCACCTTGTGAAATGAAACAAAGTCCTTGAGAGTCTGGTTTGGAGGCAACTTCCAACTGTAATTGTTCAGCCATTTCACGAACTTCTGGTTTAGTAAAATGACCAATGGGTAACAAAATTCTCTTCATAACTGATGGATCAATTTGTGACAAATAATAACTTTGATCCTTTCGTTTATAGTATGGTCTCATAAGATGATGCTCACCAGTATCTTGTCTTTGTAGAATTCTTGAATAATGTCCTGTTACTAACCACCAATTTTGACCTTTATACTTTTCAGAAACATATTCATAAAGCTTTCCAAATTTGACATATCTATTACAATTAATATCTGGGTTTGGCGTGATCCCTTTATTATATTCACCAAGCATTGGTTCAAAAACATCTATCCAGTATTCTTTTTGGAAATTTGTCTTTTCAATAGGTAAATCTAACTGTTGTGCAACTGCTTGAGCATCTTTCCAATCCTGTTCAAGACATCTCGAAGTATCCGATTGACTCCAGTTTTCCATAAAGATAGCAGTACAGTTCTTGTACTCTTTTGAATACAGAGCAGCAGCCACTGATGAGTCAACTCCCGAGGACATGGCAATAACCACCAGATCCTCTGGCTTGGGCTTGGGCTGTACATAACCTTTTGGTATTCTTGAAGATGGTATCGAGCTCAGCTCTCTTTTAACAGATTTCCATGGGAATTTGGCTCTGGGTATTCTCCAGGACGAGAACAAGCATGATTTTATAAGTAAGCTCATCTATAGACTTTTCAAAGGTTCTTAAAGGTGGATTTAAAGTCTCTTAATATTACAAATGTTGAAAATTTATGTGACAATTTTTTTTTCACGAAAAAGACCAAAGAAAAAAAACATCAAAGCCTATCAAACTTCAACAATCATCAACAAAAGTTTGTGCTCCTGTTCCCAGCTCAACGATGAATTCAAAGGTTACGCTGGGCTCTTTCAGCCCATACAACCGTATTTCCGGGTACATGCGAAGAGCATTGCCTGGGAAGCTCCCTAGATATGTCCAGATTTTGAAGCAGGCCAACGCTAAATCTGATTCTCAAGAAGACCAGTCAAAAAGTCGAAAAGATGTTGTTGTTGAAGTCCCAGGTGTTGTGCAAAATTGGAACTGGAAAAATTTCAAAGACCTGGTCTTGTTGGATATGAAATATAAAGATGCTAAGTTCCTTTTTAAGCCAGTTGATGGCTTGAGAGTTCCAAAAGTCAACTCACGGGTTGCCCTTGACAGACTGTTGAATAATCAAATATCTGAACATTATGTATCTGATGAAGCTTCCAAAAATGATGATTATATAAAAAGGTTCCCTGCAGAAGACACTCAAATTTATTATCTCCAAACAGTTATTGGTGAAAGCAGTGGGACTGAAGTTGAAAAACCAAAAGATACACAAGTTCCATTTGAATCGGCAATAGGACCGCTAAAGTTTAATATCTCAAGTATAGTCATTTTCCAAAATACTAAAGCACTTGGTATAACGGAAAATCATCCAAATTTCCAAGAATTGATTGAAACTAAAGTTAACTTACCAATAATTGGCGAAGTCCCATTCATCAAGGTTGATAAAGAACAATTAGAACTAGAAGATGATGAAATTATTACTGCCATTACACCATCATATGTTTTACCACATCAAGTTTACTTCCCAAATGCTAGACCTGCGGAAGTCAACAAATTCCGGAATTTTATAACCAATGATAAAGTTGATGCTCACACTTTGGGTGCTTTAATTGCCCGTGAGTTTGGATTGGAGAATGTTGAGCTATATACTGTACCATATATTGTTTCAAAACATTTTGCTAAAAAACGCACACCACTAACGGGGGTTCATCAAGGTAAAGAAAGATTTTTACCATATTATGAAACACATGAAATAATAGCCCAAGGCCCATTGGGAAAACCTTTAGACAATCCAAATTTGTGGTTTACAAACATTACTCAAGCTGGTTGGAGAAGAGTGGAACATCAGAGATCTGGTACTGCACAGTATAACATTGAAAATCTAACATATATTCAACTTGCAAAATTATTACACGAAGGAAAAACTTTGAATAAAATGAACAATAAAAAAGAACAACTTATGCATTATGATAAATTTTCCACTGATATGTTTAGAGGGTTAATTTTGTCTCAGAAAGATATATCAGATGTTGAGATTGATGCTGAATTTCAAGTTATTGATTTGCTCTCCAATGTTTTGAATTATCATTTAATCACAAATAAATCAAGACTTAATGATGGAATTGATGGATTCCATCCTAGAGTTTCTGATATTTATGAAGGTGATAAGGCATTATTATTAAAGCCGTGGGATCGTGTAATCATTGACCGTTTCTACAAAATTGAAAATAAAAAGGATGTTGATGACTTTATCAAAAATTTTGCTATTTATCAAATGATGGTTCATTTAGAAGGTGATTCTGATAAGAATAGATGGAAGTTTGTCTTTGAAATAACTTCCAATTTATTGATTAGGTTTTTAAATGATCATGGTAAGGCTTATTATCCATCAATTTCTAATTATTTCTTGAAAGCATTTGGATATACAAAGGAATACAAGACAAATATCTTACCAGGGGAAACCACAAATTCATGGACACATTATATCGAATACCCAATTGAATCAGTTGGTAACACTGCATTGAATGATGAATTGTTTAGTGTTGCCGAACATATCTTTTCAGTGGTAAGAATTGGTCCTTTCTACAAGACAGATAAGGTTATTTTAACGGATAATAAAATCATTTTAGAGAATAAAGCATTGTTGGAAAGTATAAATCCAGAAGGTGAATTAATTTTCAATGAACTTGATAAAGATTTCAAATTGAATTATTTCATTGATAAAATTTGTGAAATACAACCACAAGATAAAAGAAATGATAGACAAGAGCCAAGACCAAAATCAAACACACAGATTATTTTCTATAGAAATTATTTCAGAGGTGATGTTTTACCTGAATTTATTTTCAAGAAATTAAATTATCTAAAATTTAGAGTTTCACCTGAGATTAAAACAGATTATTTGAGAAAAGATTTATTAGTTAAATTATTAACAGATTTGAAAAGAAATTTGAGCACTCGTGAAGCAGATCAAGTGAATTATCCATTAACTAGGATTGAAAGAGATAGATTATACTCATTCCTAAAATTCTTTGTTGATAACTTGCCAGAAAAATTCTTCAGTCATCCTTTAATCTTAAGAATTACCCCTGACAAGTTTAACAAAACTGATACAGATGCCAAATATGCTAGTATGTCAAATCGTATTTCTGGAGCTCTTGAGAACTATGAAAGGAGTGAAGCTAGATTAGATGATATCATCATGGATTTCCTACAGAGACACAATCAAAAATAGGTTATAATCAATTCGTGTTTTTATTCATTAGCTCATTAAACTCTTGTATATAATCTTAATTCATGACTTTATGTTGTCTTTGTTGTTTGTAGTACTTTGTGATATTATCATTTAGATTCAAAAAGTTTTTTAGCAAATTGATGGATCTTATAAGTAACTCATTATATTTCAGCTCAAGCTTTTGTAGATGGTTAAAGTTTTTCAAAATAGAATCAGATTTGTTCAATATTGAAACATGTTCAACTTGTAACTCATGTTTTTCCAAATTTTGTAGTATTATCAAGTTGTTTGCAAGTTTTTCAATTCTTTCCAAGTTAGCCAGAACAAACTGTTTCCTTATTTCAAGTTCTTGAGGATCAATATTTTGCAAATTCTCATCATAATAGAATCTGATCTTTGAATTGTTTAGATTGTTGAATAGTTTCTTCAGATTAGGATTTCCTTTTATGAATGCATTTAGATGGTTATTCAAAGTATCTATTGTTGCCACAACACTTTTATTCCCATCATCCACATCTATAGAAGACTCCAAATCATCCAATCGCCTTCTCAATGCCTCCATCTTGATACTTTACAATCAATTCAATATTAGAAAAGTAGTAAAAGTAAAACGTAAACAACAAAACAAGTTCGCGAAAAATCACCAGTTTACCCTGCTCACGAAAAACGAATTCGCGAATTCTGACGTTGATTTTCAAAAGGGGCCAACTTTTGGGAATTTTTGGAAGAAGAAAAACCACACGATTAAGAACCAAAAACAGTTGAAAACGAGAAACAATTGAAATAGTTTTAAAATGGTATGTGATGGATTGGATTGAGTTGGGGTTGTGTGTGACTTTGCTGAGCAGAATTACACCCAATTGATGAAATTTCGATGAATTTATACTAACTAGCTTTGTAATAGTCAAGATCAGGGTACGTGTTATGATTATATCATTGCGGATTGAACAAGATGTACTAACCCTAAATAGTGTTGTTGTTGCAGACGAATCCTTAAAAGCCTTCAATGAATTGAAGTTGGGTAAAAAATACAAATTCATTTTATTTGAATTAAACCCATCAAAGACTGAAATTGTTGTTAAAGAAACTTCAACTTCAACAGATTATGATGAATTTTTATCAAAATTACCAGAAAATGATAGTTTATATGCTGTTTACGATTTTGAATATGAAATAAGCGGTGAAGGTAAAAGATCAAAGATCATTTTCTTTGCTTGGTCTCCAGATACCGCACCAATTAGATCTAAAATGGTTTACGCTTCATCAAAAGATGCTTTAAGAAAAGCTTTAAACGGTGTTGCTAGTGATATCCAAGGTACTGATTACAGTGAAGTCTCCTACGAAACCATCTTGAAGAAAGTCAGCAGTTACTGGTAATTAAGCTTAAGTTAAGGGTGAACTATAAATTAGTTATAGGGAATTATTCTTATGTTGATTGCAGGTACTGTTCAATTTTACGATTGAGAAATCAAAAATCAACTAAAAATCAGAAGAAACTAGCCCTAGCTTAATGTCGACATATTGTATTAATTTTGTGATCTGATCAGTTGCTCTTACATATAATACATTACTTAGTCAGGTGCATCATAAAAGTAGAACCTATTTTTACAAAGCAGGATATTGATAAGTCTACAACATCAGGCATTGAAAAATATATAATGTTGTATTGAAACCAATTGGGATAATCTTATAAAGACTCACAACAAAAAGCGTCAATACTGAACATCATCGTGATATCACGAAATAGCTTCGTGTCCCTGATCTTTTGTGTTATCGAATTAACTTCAATATAATTAATCATTAATCACAGATAATCAAAAGACTAGGAAACCATATTTCACTCAAGTTAGATAATTAATCAAATAACTTCGAATCATTAGCCAAATCCACATAGTATATGGTACAAAACGAAGCAACCATCAGACAACCATATAATGAAATATTATGATTAATTTTGTTAACTGATTTAGATCACACTCTGTAGCCGAGGTTCGGTTGACATTTCAGGAGCTTTTCAATAGGATTCCAATAGCTGGAGGCCAATTAGGAATTGTTATCACGTTAAACTCCATACTTGAAGCCATCCTGTGTTCAAAGAGCTACAATTTTTCCAATTTTTTTTTTCTTGCTTAGTCAGCTCAGGCCCCTACTATACAAAAATCATAACTCGACGTTTCTCCGATATATTTGAAATGTAGATTTGTGGGTTGGTGCTAGTGGAATCCCATTATCGTTATTGTCGTTTTTGTGGTTGACCGTTGGATGTACGTCATTGAAGAGATTGGATTGTTTTTGTGGTTGCTTATAGAAATTCACACTGTTTTGTGTTTGTGATCATGTACACAAAGATGGATTACTTAGGAGAATAATTCAATTACTATGGTGTTTGTGGTTTGTGGTTTGTGGTTCTGTGGTTCTGTGGTTGCTTTGGGTTTTGTGTCATTGGTGTGGAAAAGGTTAAAAGAAGGTGGAATCCCAATCTACTTGTATTCTTTTACAATTCATAATTCACTGTCGGTGTTTTCATTCATTTCCATTCATCATTCATTTCCAGGTAGACAGCTCATGTTCATTAGACCCTTGATATTCTTTATGGTTTCACAGTTCACTTTGATGGTTGGAATTGTTATTATTTATCATTTGAATCTAGTTTTCTTTGAGAAACGTTACCCTTGTTTGATGGGTTACTACTATGAAAGTCAGTGATGGGCTTGATTGATAGGAAGTACTTTGATTCACTACCCCCATTGAAAGATGTGAGAGTTTATTCTTTTGAATTGAGTATTTGGGTTTCATTGTTACCTTGAACTTATATCTGCAATTATGGGAGGATTCTTGATGAAACTATAACTTTTCATTTCAAATAACCTAGGATGACTATTATGTTTACATGATTCTGATGATTTTGAAGAACTTTTCCCCCCAGCCTCTTTGTTTCTCTATAAAATCGATGATGATTGTTCCCATATGTTGTTTTTAAATTTGTGTTTCAAGATGTCATCCCCAATGGTGTTCTTTTGTTTCGTTGACATCTACCCCAGGCCATCATTCATTGTTCATTTTCAATTCTAGCTTTTTGGTATTATCATTTACTTTTTTTTTTCCATGGTACTCATCAAGATTAGCTGGTGCTTTTGCAAGTGTCACTGGTGAAGGTGCTGCCACCAGTTCAAGTGCTCCAGAAACTTCAAGTGCTGCTGCTTCTTCCTCTGCTGCTGCTACAACAACTTCAAGTAAAGCTGCTGAATCTTCATCTGCTGCTCCAGTCACCTCTGAAGCAAAATCAACAACTGCTGCTGCTCAATCTTCAAGTAAACCAGCTTCAAGTGAAGTAGCTGTTAGTACTTATGAAGGTGCTGCTGCTAACAATGGTCAATCTTTAATTGCATTGATTGTTCCATTTGTCTTGGCTGCTCCAGCTTTACTTTAGTTCAATTGAGTGCTGATACTTTTTTAAAACTTCTTTTAACCTATTCTTTTAATTCTAAACGTATATAACTCTACTAAGTTATTATATATGTTGTTTTATTGTGTTTGAAATATTGAATATAAATGTAGTTTATCATGGTTGAGCTTCTCCGTCAATAACCGACGCTACAAACATAACGCAAGGAACTACAATATAAATAAAATAGAATTGGAGAGTATCAAATATAAAAGAATATAAAAAGAGAAAGATCAACTACATGCCATAAACCTTTATGACAATTAGATGAAAAAATAGGTGAAAATGACTGCGATCAATCAATCAGTAAGTTTCAATTGTAATCAAATAGATCCAATTTAATACAAACTATCAATGACTTTATCCAGCTGTAAAAAACACCTTTGTTATTATCCCCAAATGACAATCTAATAACAACCGAATCATCTTCCACTTCAGCCAGGGCCCTTGACTTTCAGTTTCATCCTCAATTGAAATCATCAATATCATTTGTTCGAATGGAATAACAACTAAAGATCAACTGATCTTAATAATTAAATGATCAGGCTTCAAGTTCATGTTCTTTTACAACTCTTTTTGTTCTCTTTTTTTTGGCTTCTTGTAAACTTCTTATGACTTTTGACTAGTTTCAAAGAAAACATTATTCTACCAATAAATTGGCATCTTGACTGACTCAATACTTTTCCCGCACTACACAGGAAAATGAAGCAAGCAATGAATTCCAATCAACATCATCATCAAAAGCTGAAAAATCCCGAAATCATAACTTCATCAATTTTCACAAGTTTCCAGGAATCATAAGTACATCTACATGTAGTCCACCCAATTGACCTTCAACATCTATTCACTCATTGAAACATGTAGTAAAAATCTCCATTATGTTCCCCTATCCCAAGATAAAATATCTGTTTAAATAAAAGTTAGTAGTTGAACATCACAGTGTTTGATCATGAAAAGCTAAACCTGTAACGAAACCTTCAACGGCGTTGAAATCAACAGTTGATAATAAAGTGGTGTAAGAATCATCTTTATAAGTTTGAGCTTCTTGGTATAAGTTTAATAAACCATCTGGTAGGGCATTACCTTGTTGGATATAGTTTAAATAGTCTGATAAATGACCATTGATATCACCGTAAAGAGCAGTGACTGCAGCGACTTCTTCTTGGTCGATTGCAGTGGCTAATGTAGCTAATGAAGCTAAAGTGATGATTGATAATTTCATAATTGAACGAGTGGATAGGTTTTTCCTTTGAAAAGTGTATAGAGGAAGTGAAAAAGAATATAAAATTTGGGAAAATGGTGAGATTCAAAGGGTTTTTATAATTGAAAGGATCAAACTTTGAGGAGGAGATTCACATATACCTCATGTTGTGGGTATAAGTTGATGTTTACCATATGTATGAAGCACTAAAAATAAGTGTACAGCATTTCCTAAAACAGCCAGGGCATTCACCAAAATCAGACGGTTTGTGATCTTGCAATTGGAAAGAAGGGGAATGAATGGTATTTTCTGACTTGTTCATGTATGAGATGTCCTTGAAATTGTAAAAAAGTGAAAGCATGATACAAGCTTTTCCCAATTCATGGGGAAAAGATAAGTCACTGGGCATGGGAATCGCTGGCTGGAAGGGCATTAGGACAGTATTAAACCATGCTGTAACTGGCTCAAGGTGTTGATGTTTAGGTCTTTTGGGATATTTATCTAAATTATGGGCATTCATGGGAACGAGGTGGGTACCAACTCTGTAGACCAATTGTGTAGATGGCCGGTGTCAGCTGATATCCAATTGCAACTAACCATCACTTAACCAGAATATCCTTTAAACAGCACCATAGTTCAGCTAATTGTATCACAAGTCACCATCAACACAGCTTATAGTAATAGCATAACCGTTGAAAAGCATATTGATGTGATGACATTTTGACAGCTGTAGAAAACACGGAATTAAACGGTCGGCAGCCAAAGAGGAGAGCCGTGCTGATTATGTAATCACTATACACAATTGGTCAAATTGTGACCTTTTTTTTAATATGAATTTGAATTCGTTTATTCGTTTGATTCTGCTCCATTTTGTAGCTTTTGGTGCCGTTGAAGAATTGGCCAATCAGACAAGAGAAGGTTCAGTGCTTGCTATTTGAATTACTCCTCCCGTGTGGCTTTCAGATGTTCAATCGGTTAAATAAAGACATGTCAAAGAAATGCTACAACCCTTTGAAGAAATACACACTTTTCATAAATTAAACAATAATTATAATAAAGCTGGAGCTGCTAACACCATCATCAATGGGAGCAAGTAGTAAACAACTTGTGAAGATTGTTCTCCAAGACCCATACCAGCACCTGAACCTGATGAACCTCCACCATTAGAGCTTGAACCTGATTGAGAACCAGATTGGGATCCAGATTGTGAACCACTTTGTGAAGAACCTGATTCTGAGCCTGAACCTGATTCTGAGCCTGATTGAGAGCCTGATGCTGAACCTGAACCACCGGCACCTCCAGCACCACCACCACTTGAACTAGCAGCTGAAGAAGCTGATGAAGCTGAAGAAGTGATTGAAGAAACTAAACTTGAGCCACCAACTAATGAAGAATCTAATGAAGAGTGTGAAACACTACTAGAACCACTTCCACTTCCACTACCCTCTGTAGCTTGAGCGAAAATAGTTTCCAATCTTGAAGAATACCAAGGTAATCCAGTAGCAAAACTTTCAACTTGACCAACATCAACATTTGATAATAAAGTTGTATAAGAATCATCGGTATAAGTTTGCACCTCTTGATACAAATTCAATAAACCAGCAGGTAATGAATGACCATCTTGAACATAGGATAAATATTCAGAAATATGACCAGAGATATCTCCATAAAGACCTGTTAAAGCTGCAACATCTTGAGATTGAGCAATAATGATTGAAGCTAATGAAGCAAGGATTAATAATTGTAATTTCATTTTGACTTTGGATTAGTTATGGATGCAAAAGAAGGAACAATTTGGAAAGGGAATGGGATTATTCCTTGTATTTATAGTTACCGTATTCCTCCACTTGTATGCTCTTGTTATAAAATTATTCTCATGATCATCAATATTGTGAAAATTACCTGTCAAAAGAGACCCTCCGAGGAAAGTGAAGGGTTTGCATAAGGCCTTTCATGTGGGGAGTCATAATTAATTCATGATGTCGAAAGCATGTCAAATGGATTATTCTGCTAGTATTTCTGTTAATAATCAAGTTGTATTTCCATATTGGGAGTCCAATGATCAGAGTTGATGGAAGGGGAAAAGCGTGGATAATGATAATAATTAACCGTTAAAGTAATAACGTTCTATTAACAATTGTGCATTCTTTGGATGACTCTGTTTGATTCAATTAGTAATTAAACCGTAGCTAAATGATCTCTCTATTCTCATTATTACCATCCATTTATATACTTATCACTTACCTTCACCTCATTTCAACGTAGTTACCCTTTATTGTTCAAACAATTGTTCAATTGTTCAATTTTCTTCCCCAGGTTTTCGATTGCCAATCAAAGCAATCAACAATAAAGTGTGACTAACAAAATAATTCACCCGTGAATTCATGAGTAATAAAAGTACAACGTGTCCAAAGGTTAATACTTACACACTGTAGCATCCCCTTTTGATCCATTTATAGCTCTATAATTTCATTTTCCACAGCTGAAACAATATAAATTACTTCAATTTCAGTCACGTGACTTTAAATTATGCGTGTCATGTGACATCTTCTTTTCATCTCGCGAATGATCGTATAAGCTCACATTTTTCTCGTTTTGGGTGAAATTTTAGTGTCTTTGGAATATTGTCAAAGATCAAAGATCTATAGATCCGAGTCAATATTCCTTCCTCCATGAGCACAATAATTGCACTTTATAATCAATTAGAATCAATAATATTGAAACAGTTATCCAAAAGTGAATTCTTTAAACATCATCTTGATGATCCAATATCAATCAAAATAACATCTATTGGTATAATTATCTTGGTTTTAATAATAATTTATAAGTTGATTTTCAATATTGGATTACATTTACAAGTTTGGGAATTACCTGGTAAAGAATATTTCATTGATACTCCAGTTCATTGTGCTCATGTTTATATAAATGGTCATGTTATTAGAAATTTCAATCAAAATGATCAAATAATCTTATCAACACCATTGAAATATCATATTGAATTTGCACCTGAAGATTTTGAAAATAACGAGAATCCAGAACTTGGCTCCACTTTAGGTTTCACTAGAAAGAAGTTGTATTTCTTATTTAAAGATTCTTCATTTTTCGAATCATTAACATCAAATGAACAAAAAAATTACAAAATTAGTGATGTATTGATTTATCATAAAAAAGTTGAATTGAAAGATGATTCTAAACCATTATGTTTACATGGTGTGGAAACAGGTTTCAAATTAGATGTATATTACAATATAATATAATATAGTTTTTTTAATTAAAAGACCAGCTTTAATAATTCAATCTAAATTCAATCTTGGATACTCCAAATTCTTATCAAAAGCTTTATTTTCACTCCATATCCATAATTTAATCATTTTTTTCAAATTGGAATCAATAATATGGCTATTTAATCCATCATCATCTTCATCATTATCATCAATTGAAATTTCATCAGCGTCATTGTTAACTTCATTATTGCCATTATTGTTATCATTATCTTCGTGTTTAACTTCATAAAACTTCTTTTTATAATTTAAATCAATTAAATTATTAGAATCTTTCACCAATATTGATTTATTCACTAGATCAGCTATATCTCTTCTTAATTTGAATTCAAACAGTTCATTCAATTTGGCAGGTAATAAATCTTTATTATTTGAATATAATAATAAAGTCATTGTTAATTCTAGTTCCTCCATAAATTTAACATTTTTAATTGCTTTATTTGTCAATTTATCTTGAGCAAATTTGATAATATTCATAACAAATAGTTCTTGATTATTATCATCATTTTTGGAATCATCATTATTATTTCTAATCATTTCAATCAAATTCAATAATAATAATTTGAAATGAAGAAAATTATTTTGT